CCTTCCGATATTGACAGTACATGGTGACGTTTTAGGAATATTCACCTAGGCTTAAAATGATTTTCTGGGAGATTTCAGATACATCTGTAACACCTAAAAGACAAGGATAGCATTGATCACGGTATTTTCAAGCCTTGAGTTTAGTTCCATCAGCAGTTCTGAATCACCAGACCAGTTAACGAGGTGTTCTAATTGATAGAATAATTCTACATAGTTTTTCCACTTACACTAATGTAACATTTGGCTTCACTGAGGATGGATATTAACCACAAGTTGAAAGGAAGGTCTGGTTCTCTGGTCCTTTGCTACATTTCATAAAGCTTTTAATTTTACTTGCAATACCCACATGCAATCCATACAGGCATTTTCTTTCCACTTGGGTTTAGAGACCCTGTTCAGTAGTTAATTGATAGTGTATGAGCAATGAAGGCAGCCTCAATAGTTTTACTGTTCCAGAAACACTCATTCATAAAGATCATCTGTTCAAGAGCAGTTGACCCTGGTTTTTGTTCTGTTTACTGGCTTTGTTTCGGGCAATGTGCTGACTTGCCTACAAGCTCTTCAACTACAGAGTATTCAAATAGTTTCCACTGATGTGTTAAGGTCTCCGGTTCACATGAGTCTGCTCACTAAAATTTTGAGAATATTAAGCCAGTTCTCGACACCAGAGTCTTGGCACTTGAGATGACGCTATATGGTGCTAAGTAGCCGCAGCTTGAATCCTGAGCAATGGCACCTCCTGAGCTTAAAAATCAGTCCTATAAGCCAAGTCACTAGGGTTTTTTGTGTGGGTGTTGTTTTTTTTTTTCTTTCTAACAGGGAAGTAAAGCGCTTGTTTATAGCATTTTTCCCTCCATATTCCCCCATTTGGGGAATGGGTGGATGCTCGCTGGGCAGATAAGGGGGGATGTTGTGATTATTCAGGCAAAGATACTCATCAAACTTAAAGCTGCAAGGGAATGTTCCCCTAGTTAGTGGCTCATCTGACATCTGTGGCAGGAAGGAATGAGGCTCTTGCTTTTTGTTTAGATAATTTGCCTGCTTTTTAATATTACTTACTCATCTCATAGCTTAGATACAGAAATTTGGGTGATTCAAAAGAGGGAAAGGGAAAAGTGGTTGGGCTTTTCAAAGAAGATAAGGAAGATAGGTTCCCAGATCCCATCGACTGTCCAAGAGAAGTAGTTTCTTTTAAAAATCCTAGTCTTAAAAACAGGTAAAATAAATTAAAAAAAACCCCAAAAATCAAAAAACCCCTAGTCACTTCCAAAGATAGACCAAAATTGATGTTGCCCATCTTTGCAGATATAGCCTGTAATGTGATGTGTTAGCAACTTATGACCTCATGGTGTGGCTGCACTGCCACTGCTTACAGTATATTGCGTTTCAGTGGCATTATGCTGTAGTGTTTGGATATATAAAGCAAAATATGCATAACACAAAAACCCCCAGGTACTAGATGGCAGTGGATTATTAATGCAAACTTTTCTCTTAAGTAGCTGGTTTTTACTGAATCTATAAGAGAAGCAGTAATTCTAGGCCACTCTTTCAAATGTGTTATCAGGAATTCACATTAAGCTTTGGTAAAGAAGGGGTCCGTGTTATTGATTTAGCAAAGAAACTGTCAGGAGCATAGGTGTATTCAGAAGACATCACCTTCACTTCAGCAGGCAGGACTGCACACCAAGAAATAAAATAGTTTCCCCTAGCTGTGGAATATTCAATCCACCATCATCAAAGGAGCAGATTCAATAATTGTTACAGGAGCAATGAAAGGAATCCTTTTCTTTTGCTCAAATTAACTTTGTGTCTGTTTTGGTATCCTGTAACCTAGCCAGTTTTCCGAGATGAAAACAGAACAACAAAAACTGGCAAGTTCCACGCATCTGGGATCGGTGGCCTGAACCTCCTAAAATGTGTAAGTGAAGAACAGAACATCAAGCTGTCAATTAGATCTTCTAATAGCTTTTAAACATTACTGTATTTTATTACAGACCTAAAATTAGCCTTGTTTTCAGACTTGGATCTTTTTCAAGTTTTTCATACTTCAGCCCAACCTTCTTTTAGCTAGCAAGGCTGAGTTTTCAGCACTGAACAATGGAAATGGTGTCGGAGCATTTGACACGTTTCTGCTCCCATAACTACCAGTCCTTTCCTATGGTAAATCTGACTTTCTTCGTCGAGTTGTTGGGCTTTGAAATTTTCTGTACGGTTACGTTTAAGCTGACACTGTGCATGGTGTTATGACAGGGGAGTAAACATTAGAAGATCCGTCTCAGTGTGATGGATGAAGAGAGATGTGCAGTTTCTAATCTGAGATTAGTGGATAAAGGGACTAGGGTGAAAGCGGTTACTCATAAAAGCAACAACAAAAAAAATTACCCTCTCCGAGTTAATACAAAGCAGCCTGCGGAGCTGGTGTATGTGAAAGCAGCTGTGCTGAAAAATCCCAGCAACAACCAAAACTCTAGTTAACACGTGAGCTTCATGTGTACTGTGGGAACTTGAATTATGCAATCGGGGGGGCAGTGCTAAGCGAGAGAGATGGCAGACCGCAGTGATAGCGTGTCCAGGCTTTGCTTTTGGTTTTAAATAATCTAGTTAATGTGAGATACCTCAAAAAAAAAAAAAAAAGCAAACAAAAAACCCCAAACGAGCAACAACAGAATAATCCACATAGTACAGCTAATGTCTTCTGAAACTGTGTTCTGTTAATGGAGGCAGACCGTTTTGCATTGCGATGTTGAGGAAGAATAGTACTTTATAATGAGTAGAACACAAGTTCTGACTTTAATTTCCAGTTCTGCCACTTACTATGTAACCCTGGATAAGTCATTTAAGATGACATCCACAGAAGGATCCAGCATGCAGGTCTCATCTGATTTCCATTTCCTAAAATGCTATCCTAATCCTGCTGCCTAATCCTGGAGACACCTACAATCCAGAAATGCCTCATTTTTCTGTCTGAAAGAGTGTCAGATGTAAAAACCTGGGTTTTGCACATTTAAAACTTTCCCAAAAGTCAGGGTGTCAAATAGGCAGGGCCCAGCTCCCCTTGAAACGGGTTGCGGAGTGTGCTTCAGCCTTCCTTCTCTGAGCTCTCCTCGCAGCCTAGATGGGGCAGGGCGGTGGGGCTGTGCTTCCTCTGTCCTGCCAAGGAGCTCCGTGGGTTGGACACTCACCCAGCGTGCATTTCAAATATTTCAAGGGTCGGTTCACTGCTTCTCTCTGCTTGCTGGGATCGCTCTTGTCCTTGCCACCCAGGCGGTGGTACAGGGATTCGGTCTTCAGGCAGTGGGCGAGGTGAGAATAAGGAGCTGAAGGAAGTGCCCCGACTTGGGAAATAATGTGATACCTGGGGCTGTGATAAGGATGTGATTTAAAACGCACCTTTCTCTTCCATGTCTTTTGTTGGCTTTGTGAATATTACTCTGAGGCACCCTCCCCTCCCTGTATATAATGTAAGAAGCCTATGTGGTAAGTCAAAGCCTTTGGCTGTCTGAAAATTATGTGTTGTGGCACAGTAAATCCCTGTGCTAAGACGCCCTTTTGGGTCCGAAGGCATCTCTCGGTGCCTTGAGTTTCCACGCTGATGATCCTCCGCGGTCCAGGATGGTGCTCAGCGGTCAGAAAGAGGGGTACAGGCAGCTCTGAACCGTGTAATGCTTAGCAGGAATGAGGGATCTGGGGGCTGTAACGGATGATGGTGTCTGCAGAGCAGCATGGGGAGGAACCTGTGACACTGAAAGAAAGACTCCGACAAGCAAAGTGCCAAGCGTTGCTATAATAGGGCTGGATTACTCACTGTGCTTATTCAAATTCCTGTTGATGCCGGCAGCGGGAGTTTTCCCGAGTAGCAACGAACAATGAGTCATCTCCAGGTGTTTTTATTTGAAAGCGCCTTTTTTTTTTTTTTTTTTTTTG